GGATACCGCTATTCAAACTTTGAACAACAGGGGCTGTTTTGACACTGAATAATATAACCTTATACCTGAGTGTCAGGTTATACAACAAGAAGACTTTCACGCAAGGCCTGGAATATGGGCAGGGCGCCTTTCCCCCTCGTCACAAGGGAGCTTTAGTAACGACTACGGTGACGGGAATGAGAGCGGCAGAAAGCAATGAGTATGTTCATTTGGTACATTTCTTTGCCTTCGTTGCACGATAACAAGTGGACGTGAAACTACCACACTTCACGATTTTAAAGGGACGTGAAAACGAGAAAACGATTCAATTTTTTCTATTCTTCAACTTAGGTACAGTCTTTTAAAGTTCGCTAACTTCTGAAAATTAAATTAAACGAGGTGGAATAGGAGCGAAGATGTTTGAAGCAGCGCGATTTCACATTTTGTGTGACGTTTTCGCTGCCGTTCCTGTCGCAGATGCTAAAGCTCCCTACAAACTTTCGCGACTGATCGGAGGCTTCAACTCCCCGCCATACCTCTGGTATTGTTAGATAGAGTAAAATAACAAAGTCGCCCAGTTGACCGGACCCTTACGCATCGCTTCATAGGCGTTTCCATGTGATCGTCGCGAACGCCTGAACAAATTTTTTGATAACTTGGATGATATAAAGACAATTGTACAGGGGCTTACTGCTACCTGTGCGCCATTTGCAAAATGTCGAAGAAAAGTGAAGACAAAAGAAAACAAAAAAATTGAAAAAAAGCAAAATAATCAGAGGGTAAATAAGGGATAGCTAGAAACCGCACAGTTACCTATGTAACGCCACTGCAACTTATTCCTTCAGATTATGTTTCAAAACAGAATAGAGTGTTATCTCCGATTTTGTCACAGCCAAAGTGTCAACTGCCGCTTGAAGAACAAGGTTCTAAGACTAAGAAACCTTGATTGCCTCACTGTACTGTGACAAGTCACCCGGTGTGAAAACGATTTAGGAAACAGGGTAGAGTTTCTCTGAAAAATTTCTAGTTTCGCCCCTGTTGTATATGGCACTGATTCTGGTCCCCAGAGCCTTTCGTTTCTTTGGAGTCGCTCTGGCGACGAGAATGGTTGTATGGTAACTACCTGTAGGCTTTACGCATGTCCTCTTCCCTTGCACGCGGCAACAGATTTACATCTTTGGGGAGCTACAGCCTTAACGCAAAAGTCACCACGTTTAAATGTGCGCGCGTTTATTACGAGTGAAATTATGCACAGCAGTAATGCGCAATGCAATAACAAGGAACAACCTTAATCAATGTTAGGTTTAAGTCGTGGATGAAAATCTTAAAGCGCGACCAGTTCGAATGAAAGCTCAGAGTAGCGTTTTCTTATGGTACAGATTGTTAGGCTTTAAGTAATTGAAACTGCAAGTGAAACCTTTTTGTCGATACATTTGTGAATTATTTTGATCATCTTTAGCATTTTCCATCCCTTATTTGAAGCTGAATTTAGACGCTGTTTGAAAATGTGATCCAGTTTCTTTTGGAATAATAGAGGTTGATAAAAGTATTTTGTGAGAAGAAATCTTGTATCATACCTGACCTTAATTCAGTAGCCTGCTTTTAACGAATGGAAAACGTAGTTTTTTAATTGATGTGCCTCTAATGTGGCCTGTTACCCTTGGGAATTAGTGTAAAAGGCACATTTTTTTCGGCCACTATTTTGTTAATGATATTAAAAAAAATATATTCTTATCTTAATTTTGAAGCTCTTCTCCTAACTCTGTGATTGCCTTTCGAGATTCTTACTTTTTTTCCTACCATGTTCCACGTGACTGCTGTTTATCTGAAAAAAAAAAAAGGAAACAACATATTTTTGGTGAGAATAATTTTATTTACTTTCAAATTTCCAAACAAATTAACATTCGCGACTATTTGCGCATTATTTGAACTTCAAAATTAATTTCCATTTCTCGTTAAGCAAAACTTAAAATGCAATAATTGCAAATCTTAAAACAAAAATTGAGATACATGAATGTACAACGAAAGGGACCTCTCCATTGCGGAGTTTAACCGGTAATATTGCTCCTCTCCTATCGATCAACAATCTTTATTTCTGCTTGTATACATTTTTGTGTGCCGTTTTCTAGCAAAAGGGATAACCGCGTCTTTGCTTATTCAAGCAAATGTTGAATATTAGTTCAGTTCTTCAAGACAGAGTTCGAAAAAAACTGTTTAAATTAAGTGTTTACCAATTAAGTTGAAGTTTCTTTAACTATTCTTGGTTTGCTTCCTCTCCTCCTCCCTCTTTCGACTTGTGCGACTTCTTTCCTTTCGATTGAAATGGAAGGAAAATTATTTCAGTTTATGGAGCAAAATCATGCGACTATAGATAATTCTCTGAAAGCCTTGCGTACCTTAAGTCCCCTCAATTTCCCTCTCTCGACATTTTCTTTTGAGACAAGGATTCTGTCATCCGCACTTTTCAGCGACCTCAAAAAACCGAGCCTTCGGTTGGTATGTGATACTTTTCGCAGTTCCACATGAATATTGATGATAAACTTAGAAACCAATTGCTTTAAAGTTTCTAAAATATTTGCGTTTCTATCTGTCACGCTTGTCACCGGCGAAAACGATACCTAATATAATGCACGTCAATTTGGCTTTTTCAGGTACATGAAAAGACGCGGATAAAATTGAGCAGAAATAAATAAAGGAATAAAAATTACTAGGAACGATAGCTTGTTTGCTAAATAAGTACACTTTTTATGTGCGTAGGTTCTCACTTGGTCCCGAACATGGGGTTCGGGTTACAAAAGAAAATATTTTGTGAAGAATTATGCCGATCGAGGAGGCTGTTATCGCCTTATCGGATAGCCGTGAACGCCATGTTTATTAGTTCACACCTGAATAAATAGCTAGGCGCCGCGCCTGGAAGCGAGGTTTGCCAATGCAGCCTAGTTTCCAGACAAATATATCATCGATCAACCTCGTTTCCAAGCCAATATACCATCCTATTGCTCGCATCGACTTCCAATTTTGGTCAAAGCTGAGGGCTTCGAGCCAATCAGAAACAGCTGAATATTTTAAATGAATAATAAACAAATGTACAATTTTGAACGACGAGAAGCAAGTATTTTATCAAAATATATTTTTCAACTTTAACCGTCCTAGCTTTTTTTGTTTTCAGTGTACCTTTTTATTTAGAGTTATTTGTATTCCCCATAGGCATCTGAAAAAAAAGGATGCGCACAGGGTTTAGAATATAGTGGACTCGCATATAGCCAAAGTTCTATAGATACCGTGCTGTGTTAAGCCATTGCACAACATTTTACAAATCAACTTCTCTTTCACTTTGTAGTAACAATCTATACGAACTATTTACTTTTAAGTAAATATTGTTAAAACAGTTTTCCAAATTAAATACACAATATAAAGTAACTTTTAAGTGCCCGAGGCACCAAAGCTATTCAGATCGCGTTCAAGTCATGTCAAGTTGAAATTGCTTCTGGTTAGCAGGACAAGAACTCAGAGTTTGTAACTGAAAAAGAAACCAATTATTATATTGGAAAATACTATTAAATAAAAAAGTACGGCTGCGCTCAGCAATACATTGGTGGCACGACACGCTTCATTCACGATCGCATCAGTGTAAAAGAACATCTCAATAATGAAAACTCTTCTGTGAAAAAAAAAAAAAACATATCTATTCCTGCTAGAACAAAGATTATAAAGGTATCGAGGTCTGAATTCAAGATTATTATGAACGAAAACGTCCCCGCAAATGAAGAAAGTACAAACCAACCGTCAATTTCCGTGTGGAATGTAGCTAATTTAGGGACCTTTTGTTTTAGTCTTGTAAATACTTTTTTTATGCATTTTGAGAGACCCTTTCTCCAGAGGCACTCGGTAATTAGCTGTATTTTATCGTATTTTATTCAAAATGTCTATTTCTATACCTTTCACGCATACTCCGCCCCATTTTTACGCTTTTACACATTTTATCTTACACTTATTTTGTATATATATCAGCTCCACGCGGAATAGCAATGTACAATTTGGCAAACTTACCCCAAGGATTTGTTTATGTGAGAGCTTTTCTGGCTCTTGGGAAGCGCGTCGAAAGGGCAATCACACAGTCCCGGGTTCGAGTCCCCTCCGACTACCAGCTGGATGTAACTGGCCTATTGGTTCCATGATGGCCAGTAACTGTACGCTTATTAATACTTTTATGTTTTTTTTTTATTGTCATCATTATCATTTGTTTTTAATTATTTTAGAAAAAAGAGAAAGCCCGTTAGCTAGCTGGAAAGCTCAGTGTTTTTCACTTAAGGTTCGGTGAAACGGGCGACAAAAAAACGTGCGACTTGTTTTAGCTAGCTATAGCCATAGCTATTTAACTAGCTATAAAGCAACGTTGTGCGTTCTACCACCAACTGATAAAAACCTGTCTTTTTTGTTGCCCGTTTTTCACTCGTTTTGCAGCAATGTTGCCAAACCAGTTGCACGTTTTCCTTGTCCCCCACCGTAGTTTAAAGGAAAAACAAACAAAACAAAACAATAAAATGCAAGATTGCAAGGACGATTGGAAAGACATTTTTGGAATTCAACATGGCTGTTACGAGCATCGCTTTTGAGTACGAGATAAGAGGGTGGCATCTCAGTTTATCTTTACCTGAGCCAAAGAATCAGTAGAAAATCCATTGCTTGTTTGGATTGCTGATGATTTTTTCTTGAATTTCTAAGAAACGAAAGAGGATTTTTAGGCCTCTCTTTCTGTAAAACTGTATCCACTTAATAATAAGCGAGTACTTGTTTGTAACCCATTTTTTTCTATAAAAAAATTAGTTAAATATTATCCTGTAATAGTGAACCTTGATCTCCTTATTAGCCTGACAAATGAACCAGTCACTACGAAAGTATAATTAAAATTCTCAGAACTGAATAAAGAGACCGGAAGTTCGTGTCCATATTCCGAGAAATCATATTTTGTCGTTTTCTGATTGGCGGATGTATTCGAGCATGACTCAAAAGAGGTTTGCAGCGCTTGTGGAGTGCTTAATTTTCAATTAAGCCGACAAAATTCCAAAGTTTTTGTCTTTTTTAGTAGAAAACTGTACTCCATGGATCTCAAGGATGGGTAATATTGCTGCTTCCCAATAGCAAGTAAGTCTCCGTTATGTCTCACGGAAATTATTTTATGCCTGAATAACCGATAACGTCAAGAAGCAGATGAAACATTCCAAGCAGGTTAGTAAGGTACACATGAATTCCCAGAAATGTTCCTTATCATCAATAACATTAATCAGTCATGACCATTCTATGAACCATTCCGAGAAACTAACACGAGCATGTTTACATGAAACTACATGATTATGCCCTCAACGCACCTCTATTTTCTCTGTACTTCCTTTTCGGGGACTGGCTTTATCTCTAGGTTACTTTCGAGGCTGCCTTCACGCCAATCGCTTTGTTGAAAAATCTATTTGGATACTTTGTATTTGGATTAAAGTAAACATGAGTCCTCTTTAATTGCACGTTTTGAAGCTTCGAACATTGGTTTCAGACTGACACAACTTCAGATAAGTGACATCTACGTGTGCCTTATATAATAATGTCTCACCCCTGAAATATATATCGAAAAAATTCGAACACACCAACCTGTTTCTACTTCCAAACTGACTACGTCACTTGGGTTCCATAACAGGTCTACATCACAGTCCCTTATATCCCTCATATTCCTTGGCTTTTCTAACTCTAGATTCAGAGTTGCAAGCCTTTACCAAGCCAACAAGAAGAGGCTTTGCTGAATTCATCTATAAAGTGGCAAAGCACCCTGATAGTTAGCCAATATTTTTCCGTAGTGATTTATTGCAGATTTCAGTTAGATTTTTGGCAGTTTCTCAGTTAGCAGTAAACTAGGTTCAGCACCCTTTTCAGCTATCGTGATTTTTGTTTTGTATCTAAAATCTGATTCATATTATGTGTAAAAAGTTCCATTTCTCAGCTGACACTAACAAGATTTTATTGAATATTTCTCGTCTATCAGTTAAACTAATGCATAGTCTCATAAAAACAATTTTTTTAAAGAAATGGAAAGCGAAAAGAGTATGTCATAAATAATGACGATTCATAAACAAGCTAATTATATGTGGTCCAATTTACGAGTGACAACTTTCATATGTATGTTGGTAAGCATGAAAAATTCTCAAATTTTCTAAAAGATAAAAGGATTGTATTTCTTGGATCTAAGGATGGGTATTCCAGTTGCTCCCTAAGTGAGTCTGAGCTAATGTATATGTACATGATAATTGATAATTATGGACCCAAATCAATTCTTCCATCAATTTCTAAAATACTCAAGAAAGTAGTATATAGGCAATTAATGGCTCATCTGAATTGGAATGGCATGCACTCTCAGTTTCAGTATGGCCTCCTTCGTAATCGCTCTACAGAATTAGTAGTAACTCACTTTACTGATGGCATCAGAAAACAAGCTGGAAATGGAAATTTGACAGGCTGTGAATTTATTGATTTGTCTGGAATGGTTCACTGATTACCTTTCTTGTAGATCACAGGCTGTTCAGTATAGAGTTGTGTTATCAAAAGCCCAACCAGTATTTAGTGGTGTACCTCAGGGGAGTATTTTGGTCCATGTTTTATTCATAATTCATTTCAACAATGGGTACATGCCAGTTGCAGTTTTCAATGAGATAACCACCTTTAGTAAAATCCAACGAGTGGTCTATTATCAATGCTGCGTTCTGATTGGTTGAGCTACTTCTAGGCTATATGTTATAGCCCACTAGTTGCGAAAAGTGCTAGATTTTTGGCGGCAAAAAAGGATTGAAGTCTTGCTTTAAGTTGTTTTGTCTCTATATTTTTGACCAACTTGTTGGATTTTGCTAAAACAATTATTCCTCTCGCCCTCATGGCCTCTGAGTCAATAGCCCATTCAGCCTTCGGCCTCATGGGCTATTGAATCAGAGCCCATTCGGGCTCGAGGAATAATTGTTAAATGCAGACGACTTTGAAATTTATACTTCAGCTAAAGACATTGATCCAAAGAAACCTAAGTGAAGACATTAACAATTTATGTCACTGGTTCGAAGAAAATGAACTGATCATCAACCTCAAAAAAGGAAAGACTGAGACTATCCTTTTCGGGACTTCAAAAAGAATCAACCTTCAATGAAACGAAGTTAACATCTCCGTTAAAGGGACTTGCATCAACAATACCCTTTTCCTATAAGTACCTGGGCGTTGACCTAGACCCAAATCTGAGCCTTACATCATATTTTGATAAAACTTACAAGAGAGCAGCAGGAAGAGTTAACCTTTTAAGATCAATTCGCCCGTCTGTCGATCAAAAATGCGCTGAAACAATCTACAACACTATGATTCTACCAATTTTCACATACTGCACATCACTTGGTCTTGGTCAGACACCCGAAAAAGTCTGATAAAGAATATGGAACAACGAAGTTTAAGAATATGGCAACAGTAGCCTGAAACTTCCATCAGTTAAAAACAATTAAGCTCAAAAGCGGTTAACTGGTCTTTGAATGTCTTCAACATAATTTTTGCTCTCCCTTTAAGTCGTATTTTGAAAGACTGTATCATTCAAAGTCTACAAGAAACAATGGTTTTTCAGAAAAATTGCCTAAAGTTCGCCTCGAATTTGTGGAAAAGGGTTTTTACTATCAAGGAGCCAAGATTTTTAATGAACTCCCAGGTGGAGTTCGATCCTTAACTTCCAGAAGTTTGTTTAAGAATTGAAAGCACTGAAATCACATTTTAGTTAATCTATGAAACGTTCATCGTTTTAACCACAGTATAGTTATAGTCTTTTAGCATTTTATCCTATAGTCATAGCTTTGTATCGTATCGTATTTTTATCTTTTTTATCTTTTACTTGTTTATTTATTCAGATATTTTTTACAGGATCCCATTGACAACAGTGTTTTAATACACTGATGGGTATTTTATCCTGATAAAATATTCGCTATTATTATTATTAGTATTATTATTACTATTCTGTCTAATGGAAATAATATCTTCCACTCAGGTAGTTGAAATATTTAGCACGTCTACGTACACTGTAGGTAGATAGGAATTCCTAGAAAGATTCCTTGATTGTGGATGGAAATTAGCCAGTCTTCAGGTCTATCTTTATCAAAGTTTCTCTAACGAGTCGAACTAGTAAAGCCATACAGCCTCCCACCTTTGTATTTGGAATAACCTGAAGAGGGGTTTTCTTTCTGAAACAATGTCTAGAGGTCTTGAACACTCAGGCGTACACTAACATCTTGAGTAAGCAATATACAATGATGAACTAAGTCCGATTTCCTGAGGATTTCACTCCACTTTCCAGTCATGCTTACTCGATAAACTCAGATTCGGATAACTCGAATTACCCGCTAACTCGAAGTAAATTTCCTGCTAAAAAAAGACAACTTAAATTTGCACTGTACTATACAATGAAGTGCTGAAAAATCTGCATTTATTTCACAATCCATGAATGAGGCTGAGTATCTTATGAAGAATTATGGAGATCGAGGAGGGTGTTATCCGTCGAGGCCTCTGAGTTATTATTTCGCCTAGTTCTTACTCTTGAAACGAGTGAAATGTCCGCCATTTTTTGTTTTCACTACCAAAACAACTCAAAGTCGTCCCCAGGTCTTCTCGGTTAACGGTGCATTAACTTGCAAGAAAGCTGCACTTTTAACGTCATCAGTTCATTAAACGCCAAATTCTTCCATATTTGGTCATCAGTAGCTGGTTATGGTGAATTATGCGTGTGCTTTTAGCCAAACAGAATCGGGGAAATATTTTGAATGAATAACAATATAATAATAATAATCGAAACCCCTAAATTAAAACAGCTCACGTCAAAAACTTGTAAAAATATAAAATTAAAACAGTCAAAGTCAAAAACTTCTAAAAATATAAAATTAAAACAGTCAATCTTAAATGCAATAAGTTCATAACCAAGTTAAGCCTCAGAATGGCAGAAATCGCAATTCCAAGGACTTAAAAAATTTCAAAAATTTCCGGGGGAGAATGTCCCAGACCCCCCCCTACAGGGGGTTCGGCGGCTCCCTTTCTTCGAACCCCCTCTGATAAAAACCTGGATCTGCCCCAGATTGTGCTCTGACATAATGCAGGTTCTTCTAGGTTCATATACTGCTTGTTGGAAAACGTGCTATTGTTAAACATTCAAAAGGCCGCCGCAGAGTTTTGCTTGACAGTTGAAAACTCAAAAGTTTCATTTGATCTCATTTAAAGAAAGAGAAAAGGAGGGAGGGGTGGAGTAGAGCATCTTAAAACCTCCACTGGGTAATTGTAAATGAATTATTCATCGGTCAATAGGTTTTCTTTCTATATTTACTTATTCTAGAGGATTGAGGTCGCAGCTCTGAATAATATCCGGAAACCATCAGTGTCGATCGCCAAACTTTTCCAATTTTGTACTTATTCTCCAATGGGTGTTAGTGTGCTTTCAATGAAGCACTTCACATGATCGACTCTCGGTCACTGTTCTTAATTTTTTAAGGTCTCATAACTTATCCCGATACCTGGAAGATTCTTTAATTGGCCAAGTCAGACAGGACAGCGATTTATTGTTCCCTTGTGATCATTCGATCTAGCTGATCGTTCTTATTAATAGTTGGGTGAGATATTTCAGCTAGGTCTCCGCATATAGGCATATCAAATTTCAATGGCGAATCCAAATGATGAGTATATGTGTTATGATTTTAGCATTTCATTGCTCTTGCACGTACTTTTTTCTTTTATTAACATCACAAAGGCATTAGAAGGCATTAGGGCAGACTTGGTTGAAGGAAGGTCTATGTGGACAGTTTGACTTTCTTCAGAGTCCGGTCCGTTGTACTCATTCATAGTCGATACCAGTCTCTTTTTCTCTTTTTTGTTTATTTTGAAAATGTATTTACGAAACATCAAAGCTTCGCCAAATTCCGGCCTTTCTAAATTTTGCGTCGCACAAACGATGTAAGCGACGGTTGGAAAAGTCAATTTGTCACAACCTCCAGTTCCCAGAAAATCACCGGAAGGGGCACTACTTGAAATTGGATTTCTTAGAAACCTCTGTTATCTAACCTATTTAATGATCGATCACATTAATTTACCTACCTATATCGTTTATTTGTTAGCTATTATTTATGATTATTTACTTGTACTTTCCCAAATTACAGTGCGATAAAAACTGGAATGTGTTTTAGGCGTTATGGAGTGTCCGCCTGGCCGAAGAGTTCGTAGACCTAAGAAAAAACAAAAGCAAGTTGAACAGTCGCCCTTGAGTGATGTTACACAAGGTCATGAGCCACCATCGGATTTCAAATCCGGGCGATCTGAGAGATGTGAAAGAACGCTAGAACAAGCATCAGAGACAAAGAAAAGTGAAAAAGCCAAACTTCAAACCAAGCGATTTTCCCAAGGGAGAAAACGACCAGAAGGCTCTGGCGATTCTTTAGATGTTGTTAGTAGCGAAACCGTGGGAACAGAACGGTATGATACAAGAGAGGAAACAAGGAGCAAAAGTGCTGCCTCTATTGAAAAAGAGGACTCACGTCCATTGTCACGGGAGGATAGTGTGTTATTCAATGAAAATACAAATGAAAAGGGGACAAGATACCAAGGACATACACCTCGGAAAAATAGTTCTAAAAGTAAGGCGAAAAAAAATGTGACCGTAGAAAAAGACGAGGAAAAGGAAGGAGAAGCAGTTAAAAACGGAGGAAAAAGCAGAGGAAAGGTTACAAAAGACGGACAAAAATGTCAGCACAAAAAAAATGAAGCAGAGAAAGGTAGTGTGATTGTAGCCGACAGAAGTGACGCTACATTACCACAACATTTTCGGCAGGATCAGGGTGCAACTGGAAGAGATAGTGAGTGCCAAAATGGAGATTCAAAACAAGGACACGCAGGTGTCACTAAAAGAAATGGCGCAAAGGAACACGTTATCAGTGAAAAGACCTTGCCTGATAATGGCTTGACAATGGCTAAAAGTAAGGCGAAAAAAGATGTGACCATAAAAAAAGACGAATTAAAGGAAGGACAAACAGTAAGAAGCGGAGGAAAAAGCAGGGAAGAGGGTACAAAAAACGGACAAAAATGTCTGCACCAAAAACATGAAAAAGAGAAACGTAGTGTGACTCTAGCCGACAGAAGTGACACTACATTACCACAACATTTTTGGCAGGATCAGGGTACAACTAAACGAGATAGTCAGTGCCAAAGTGGAGCTACAAAACAAGGACACGCAGGCGTCACTAAAAGAAATGGCCGAAAGGAACATATTATCAGTGAAAACAGTGAGAAGACCTTGCTTGAAAATGGTTCAGAGGGTAGCGGTGGGTTAGGGACGGAAAGCACCAGTAAACCCGAGGACGTCAAGCGAAGAAGAAGAAGGAGCCGTGCACGGAAGAAAAAGGTTGTTGGCGAAAGCGATGACAAGGCCATGTCACAAAATAACCTGCGAGACACTGCGGCAGAAAGAGAAAGTGAAAGTCCAGAAATTACCCCGGACCTGAAAAACAAAAATGAGACCACCAACAATGATGGCGTCAGTAGCAGTGTCATCATCTTATCCCACAATGTCGAGCTGAATGGTGTCAATGAACAAGAAGCCGATAAAAAAGGGGAGACGGCAAAAAGAAGAGGAAAACCAATAAAAGGGCAGAAGGCAACCGAAAATGTTGTCGGCGTTAGCCAAAGGGAGGCGTTGTCAAAAAAGAGCCAACGAGATACTTTGAAAGGGAAAGAAAGTGAAAGAAAACAAGAAGACTCAACACGAAAGAAATCACCATCAAAAAGTGCTGGCCGGGAAACAGAAGAGGTTTCTTTCCAAAGCACAGACAGGACCTTGGAAATCGTACCAGATGTTGACGAAAACACAAACAAGACTTTGTCTTCAACTTGTCTGCAGTCCGATGTAACAGCATTTGGGATGGTCAAACAAACAAATAAAAGTGTCAACGACGAATGCGACGACAACAACATATTGCATTTGCCTCAAGAATACAGTGACAGGCGGCCAGAAAATGAAAGTGAAAAAAAGTCAAAAAGAATAAGACGTAGACGCCGAAAAACAAGAAGTAAAGCTGAGAAATATTCAGCCATGGACGGCCCTGACAACACATTGCCACAGAATGGTCGAAACGACTGCGCAGTTGAACAAGAAAGCAAGAGCAGATATGTTAAGGACGGAAAGCCAGGCCATCAGAATGAAATTGAACGGAAGAAAAGTGAAGAGATTGACAGTAACAATAATATTCTGCCACAAGAAATTTTGAAAGACGAACTGACGAGAACAGACCACAGTGGCCAAAGAGAGGAAAATGATTTGTTAAGAGGCGAAGAAACATCTTTACAAAAAGGTGTGCAAGATGGAGCAGCACAACTGCAAGCCAGACAAAGCAGTACTGGTTGTCGTAAAGTTTTGTCAGAAAAGAAAGGAAAGAAAAATGTCAAAAAATCGGTGTGCAAATCTCTTCCGATCGACGCCATGAAAGATCTTCTGAATAGCAGTCCCGAAGAAGTCGTCGATAGACTGACTTCAGAACAATTTTCTCTGTTTGGTATACAACCCAACATGACAAACGAAGCCGTTATTGTTGTAATGAGCCTTGTTTCAAAAGCCTGCTCTTGTGATTCTCAAGCTGGTTTGCCACAACTGCTTAGTGCTCTGAAAAACTCTTGTTTTTTTACGCAAAAGGTTGGAGCCATGTTAGACGAATTAGTTGCCAAGAGGTCGAGACTAAATATGCAAACTGATGGGGATAGTTTGGATACAGCCAGTCAGCTTGTGAAGCTTCTGGCAGACGTTTTTGGCAGATTTCATACCCTTTGCTCAAGTGCACTATTAATAAAGCTCCAAAGAGCGACGAATCGTCTTATGGAGTGTGGGAAGCTCTTGGAGAAAGACGTAGTTCCAACTTTACAAAATTTAAGAAGACTGAAAAAGGAAGATGAAATCCGACGTAAACAACCAACAATGGCAACAACAGTTGGTAAGGTTTTAAATTCATCCCTTGAAAGCGTGTAATTGTTAAATCAGGGTAATTCCTGTTGATGCCGCGTAAGGTTTGGCCAAACTTACCTAAACCATAACGGAAAGTTTCATATTTGAATGAAGACGGTACAGAGCGTTGGCCAGTTTAATGCCTCCAGACACGGTCAATCAATGAATATTTCCCTTTAAACCGATGTTAAAACTTTGATTATCAATCCATGATAATTAGGTCTTAAAATGTGTACAACCACATTATTCTTTTTTACAATCATTGCAGATAACAGAAGAAATCCAACTGACAATTTTCGTCATTTGAGCGTTATTCCTACCTTGGGTGATATTTCCACTGACCAAAGTGGCTCTCTAAGAAAGAACAAGATAAAGGGTAGATACCATGATATCGAGCATTATTTAGACGTCCAATTTCGGCTTCTTCGCGAGGACTTCTTGAGGCCTTTGCGTGACGGGATCAAACATTATAGGGAGCACAACAATAGCAGATATCGAAATGATTTCAATCAGGATGTCAGGATCTACTACAATGTGAAGATACTGCGTCCAATATGTACATCCAGTGGAGTAAGATACAAAATCAGGTTTGATAATCGAAAGTTTGTTGATGTACAGTGGGAAAACAGCAAGAGATTGATCTTTGGATCCCTTCTTTGTTTGTCCAAGGACAATTTTGAGAATTTTGTTTTTGCCACTGTCGCTGAAAGAAATGTTAAAGAAGTTGAGAAGGTAAGCAGTAAATTTACCTCTAAACTATGGGGCGGGTATCAGCCAATACACCCCGTCCATGTTGATATTTGCCCTACTATTTTTCAGTTGCAAGAAAGCATGACAAAGTCAACTATGTGAGTCCTCTTTCAGTTTTTCATCTTCACTTCTTAATAATGTCAAATGGAAACAGTAAAAACAAACTTGTTTTGGATAATCCAGTTACACTAAAATTTTGAGCTAGTCGCAACTGGCAGTTCCGGACAATGCAAAGAAAGCTATAGTAAAATATGCTTCGAAGATGATCAAAATTTACGAATTAATATTAATGCATTCCTACAGATACTTGAATACAGTTTTCTAGTTAGTCATAGCTATCGGCTATGGAAAAGAATACTACGAACTGTTTAAAATAAGCCATTTTTGTGTTACAGCATAGAGAAAAGAGAGAAAAAGCACAACGGGTCATGGAAACGATTTAAAATTGATCGAGTCGTACAGTGCACCACCCGCTATAACGCAACACTTCTTACAGCTGAGCCTCATTACTTCTTCTACGTTTTTTTCTGTGACTTACTCAGATTCCACCACCGACAGCAAGAAAACCAGGTTAGGCCAACAGTCCACCAATGTATATCTTTCAACGGCTCTAGATTTATCAGATTCCGCGTTTCATAGTTGTATTAAATCACTTTTCAAGCCTTCGTAGCGGCAGTTAATGATATGGTTGGATTCTATTAACTTATCCGTCAGAAACGTTTTGTTAATAGTTTTCGAACATTGCTGTCGCTAAAACATACACTAAAAGCGCCGTGTTTTCGAGTTTTGATCTATAGGGCGTTGTGAGAGTTCATTTGAAATGACAGCCTTTCAAGCCCTGGTCCATTCACAGTTTAAATAAAAAAATCAGCCAATCAATGATTTTATTTGCCTCATTTGCTCGCGTGCACAAAACTTGTTTTTGTTTCTCTCCCAACATGTCAGAGATATAGAAAAATTAATCGGAGGATTATAACCCCTTTCTGGCTTGCTGGTAAATCGGAGGATGATGCCCTTGGCTGAGAGATTGTCCTCAAAATTTCACATTTGCCCTCGCAGCTTCGCTTCTCGGGCAAATTTTTATTGTTCGGACAATCTCTCCGCCGCGGGCATTATCCTCCGATATATACCAGCCGCCGGAAGTGGGTTTATTTACTAATTATACCATGCTCTCCAAATATAGTAACTGTACGCGTCTGCTCAAAATTTAAAACAAGCTGAAAATCGGTTGTTTTACAAATAAGGTCGGGAAGAATTCTCGATATTTTGTGGGCGTTTTAAATGAAACTATTCCAAACGCCTGCGTGGGAGGCTAGTTGGACATGAGATGATTATAGCCAAGTCGGTGCTACGCGCCAAGTTGGCTCCATACCATCTCATATTCAACGCGCACTCGTAGAATAATTGTTAAATATATATATATATATATATATATAATATATATATATTTTATTCAATTTAAGATACATGTAGTTCCTTCTTATTTATTTACAGTTTAGTATTTGATAAAAATTAATGGATTTATAGTAGTTTAACATCGAAAGGGTTACCATTTTTCTCCAGGCACAGTTGTAGTTCTCACACAGGCACCACTGCAACCTCATGTCAGATCAACAATGTAATTGCATACTATGACCTCTCAAGTTTTATTTGCCATATACTAGATTCCGAACGAGTATCAGTCGAAACGATTACAATTAAAGGCGTTTCTTCCACCAACGCTCATTTCTGTGAATGTGATGACGCTTTCTGTAGTTTTACCAGTTTTACAATTACAACTGCATTTTTCTTATTTAAGGGGCTGATTGAAATACGTTTTGTGTCATCATCGAGTGACGCTCGACCCAGGGCAGGAGATGTGTGTCAAATGGTCGAGTCTATAGCTTTCTTTGGGGCTTACCGCCCAGTGCTGGAAGGATTGCAAATGATGTCTTTCGAGGAATTTCCTTTTAAGGTACAGTCTCCCGAAACGCTTTCGTACATGTAATAACGCCATGCAGTGTTACAATGAAGAAAACTTGGCGGGGAATGATTTCAAAATAATATGCCCTTTCCTTCTAAAACAGTTTTTTAAGCAGCAATATTTAATATCGAGACTAGGGTTCACTAAATATGCCTCGGATATACCGCAAATCTCGTTTACGAGGGCGTTTCACATGTTCCTCGTGTTTGTGTTTCTTTGGCCTCCTCCGTAAATATGGGGTTATTTTTTTTCAGAAGGACCCATTTTCTTTCGGGTTCCGCTTCCTACAAAATATCATCGTGGACTAATTACTCCTTCGACTAATTATGGCGCTAAATTTCCAGGCAACTGCTGTTATGGCAATGTTCCGTATTTCTCAGTGCCAAGATAGCGTTCAAGTAAGGAGAAGTTACAACTGTAGATGTTAAGGTGGAACGCTTTAAAAGGATTCCAATTAGTGTGCTGTCGAAAAAGTTAGAAATTGTGAACTTTAGCAAAAACGTATGGTTAAACCTTTTCAGTGCGTGAAGCTCTCGGTGAAAAAAACAAAATACAGAAGTTCATGATTGTGAGCGTTGTTCGTCGCCCATGCTGGTAATGGGTAATCATGCGTCATATACTCGTGGAATTACGAAATAATTGCAGTTAGTTTTGTGCAAACTTTAAGAATTTTCCGAACCCTACGGGAATTATTAGAATCTTAACAAAACACGCTTTGCTAGTTTCATTCTTCACCATAAGATTACAAAGAAAAATATAAGCCACCAGAAAAAGAAAAAGTACGTACATTATGTATACGCCACGAGTAAAACGTCCAAAACATATTAGGGTGAATTAATTATTTTTCAACGTAAACATATACCTGTCAGTCATTCACTCTTTACGTTCCAATCTCAGGAAATGACGACAATATATTTTTTTTACCAATTTTGAATGTTTAGGAGTACATTGTGGATTGTCACAAAGATGTTCGTCCTCCCGCTTATCTTACGAAACGTGATGGTCAGAAAGTGGTGTTCGATTTCTCTTCTATCATACCTGACGAAAAAGAAGGAGAAGAGTAAGTGATGTTAGATCTGACTAATATTTCAGAGTAACCTTTTTCAAAGTCCATATGAAACAATGAACTTTGGTTAAACCACACACCTGAACTTCCCGTAACCACCCCTGTGGATTCATGTGCATTGTGCCGCATGTGGAAGAGATCTTTAAAACCATTTCCGAATGAGTCAGAGACGAGAGAAAAAGCCCAAAAACATGTTAAGTTCACCCGAACGATCCTTAAAGTTTTACCAAAAACTTTTAAAACTTTTACTATCATAACGAAGCCAAGTAAATGCCTCGCAAAAGAAAAAGAAAACAAACAAACAAACAAACAAACAAAAAACGAGGCAACAGAAGCAAAAAACCAGGCTAGGAGATAAAATAGAGAAAGGTGAAATACAATTCTACCTTCTGAGCATGTCCGACTTCTAAACAATGTTTTCGGCAGTTTTGGTTCTTTCAATTCTCTATGGATCATGACCAGAAAACGAATCAACTAGCCCCAAGTACATGTACATGTTTTTTTTTTAGGTCCACTGTAACGCTTCAGCAAGAAATTACTGCAGACCAGTGTGATGTTTCTGGTACGTTTAAAGCGATACATTAAATGGTAAAAACTATCGAATGACAGTGCTTTGTTGTTTTGTTGAAGGAGTATACGTGCGCTTGAGCTGAGCGGTCACTTTCATAAGAGCTCCGCGAACTATTGAATTTAGTTAAGATTTTCTCGACTGGAACCCAATGACCGAAGAGAAGAAACAGCAAAGACAGGAAAACCAATCCTTAGGAAATGAAATTAGCAAATTAAAACATTTAGAAAATTGGCGTTTTCAGTGTCAAATTAAATTTACAGTCAGTTGCAAAAAGTAGTAAAAAACCTTATTCAAAACTAAACTACTAAAAATTATCCAACACTAGATGAATTAAAATAAAATAATCTTGAAAATATTACATAAATCAAACTAAAGGGCCTAAAATTCCCTCCGGGCATAACCATTGAAAGATCAGGTGGCCTCGGTTAACCTCTTCCATGATCCTATTCCATGATGCTGCTCTTCTAAATGTAATATCTAAGTAAGTGATCCTTCTATCTGGTATTATGACTATGGATGTTAAAACGCTTAACTGTGGGCATGGACTCAAGGTAACTTGCAGGAAGGGTCGATTGAATTTTAAAAGCTACGGTTACGTCACGAAGCTGTAACATGACCCTTAATGGAAGCCACCTAAGTCCTCTTACAGTTGTAGAAATGAGATATTTTATTTTGCCAGTTAGTATCCCGGAGGCACAATTCTGTAACAGCTGCACTTTTTGGATATTCTGTTGTTGTTTCGACCACGCATTAGAACAGTAACACGATTTACTGAACACTAAAGAGTTCAAGATGACTAAAAGAACGTCTTTTCTGAAAAGATGTCGTACACTGTTAATTTGCCAAAGTTAAACGTTTAACAGTCGAGATGATAGAAAATTTGAGTGAGCATCAAATGAGAAATTACTGTCAAACCACAAGATTAGAAGTTATTTACTGCATCAAATGAGGACAAACTATTTTTCTTTTAGATCACTTGATAACTAGTTCTAGTCCAAAACAAAGTATCAGTGTAACAGTTTTGGAACCAGACTCCTGGCCAAATGCAAAAGATCTAAAAATAGATGACTCACAGTTCGAAGCCTTACAGTTGGCGCTTACGAAAGAGTTTGCGATCATTCAGGGGCCACCAGGCACTGGAAAGACTTACATTGGACTGAAGGTATGCAATAAAAAAAAAGAAACAAGGACATAAAAGTTGCCACTGATAACTGACTGATAGCACATACCACAAAGATAAAGCCTATACATATATAAAAATAAGGAAACGATTATGATGACAAGCTCCATCTTGCCAAACTTAAGGTAAGCTGTGGTTAATATATAAGTTTATGCTATCCTTTGGATACAACAAAAATAGGAAGATATACCTATGTTTAATCCTTTCAATAGAAAGACTCAGAAAACACTTTCTATATATGTTATTTAGGATCTATTGTGCTTTCACATTCCTTCGGAGCGATTTTATTATTCCAGAAGGACTTAGTAAAGCATGCCTGTTGCATTGGTTCACCTAAAGACAAAGCAACCAATTCCATACCGGTCTGTAGATGGGAAAGATAACTTAAATACGAAGTTCTTTTTTTTCTTCTTTCTTTCATCCTTCCTTCTTTGTTTTATTCAGGTTAGAGTTACAGAGTGCACTCATTTGATAATTATAATTATAATTATGATGCAAGAGATTTTTCGCCCGCCTTAATTCTAATACAGATAGCCAAGGTTTTACTGCGCAACCAAACAGCTTGGTCTAGAAATGGAAAGACTGGTCCTATGCTTGTAGTTTGCTACACTAACCATGCCCTAGATCAGTTTCTGGAAGGCATCCTGGATTTTCATCCAAATGGAATTATCCGCGTTGGAGGGAGAAGTCAGAGCGAAAGGATCAAAGAACATAGTCTTTCTACAGTCAAGAAAGAGATGATACAGGTAGCTATAACAACTGGGTTTTGTTTGTTTGTTGTTGTTTTTTAAGTTAATACGTATTTACGATGATCAACACTACAGTATGTTTCCCAGTATCCGGACACTTCAGTTTAACATTGCAATAACTTTCCTTTTTTAGTCGCAAGAACTCTGAAATTTGGCCCAGAGAAAATCTATTCAGTACTTAATATGACGAAAGACAGTTTAACTTTTTTGCCTTTGTTTCCATGGCGAAATTAATATTTTTGCAGAGCTCCTATGTTGCCCAGTATCCGGACAGCTGGCGCAGTATCCGGACACAACAATAACAACGTAATTGTACATAACTTTCGACAGGCAAGGGACTTATAAGCTTCTCTTGCACTTGTAAAGTAGTCTGGCAGTCGATTCCAAAAATATAACCTATATAGCATCGTGAAATAAAATATAACAAATGACAGGGGTATGGTGGGGATCGCGAGCGGTTGTTAAATGGTATAATTCTTACTTCCTTGTCTAGGAAATTTTTCGCTGATTTAAGGAAGACATCCGTGGACATGCCGAAACCGAGGTTTGCTAGCTCAATTAGCCTATCTGCAAACGACTTTTTTTCTTCATTATTTATTAAAAAAAAAAGCTTGGGGGAGGGACCTCAATGCGACGGTCAAAGGTCACTCCCCTATTTGGTCTGACCTGCAGTGTTGATTTCTTCATGCTCAGTCCCTACAGACCCTACAATAAGCCTGCTTTTCTAGCCCTAATTCCTCCTTCTTTCACATCTCTCAATCCCTTTGTGACATTTTTCAGACCGTTGCAACCCCATTCTAGCAATCACAACTGGGGAAAGTATGAGAATTCCAAGTTCAACTCCGACGCTTTCGGTTATATATTGAAAATGCAGTCACGCTAAACAAGCGGCGCACAAGAAATCAAGTCGCCTCCGAATGAGTGAGGAAAATTTCCGTACGTAGTTGAGTAGAATTACATTTTATGACTATATCATTCCTAAGCTTTAATTATAGTTATAGATATGAAATAAATCTTATCCGGATAATGTACGCAGCTAATTGATCGATTCTGTACAGCAAAGAAAAAACTGTCCGGATACTGGGCACCTGACATCAATACTTTGTGAATGTTTCTGGGCTCCGTTATTCCAAACAAATCGAATCTCAAGAAGAATTAATAAACTTTCTGAGAACCTGACTTCTTTAAGTATCTTCAATTTAAATACAAAACCGTTTCTTTGAAAATATCACATATTACTTACCCTTTCTGAGCAGCACTAATTTTACTGCGCAGTAAACACGCATTTATAATCGGTACTTTACAAATAAGTGGACTTGTCTTGCCGCAGAAGACGCTGACAAAGCGTTCGAAAGTTGAGCGGTTTTGGAAGTAGATAAAGCCGAAATGTTCAGCTTTCATTCGAAATACTTTGTTTACCGATAACTGAAAAGGGCGCCTCAAAAAGTGAGTTTTTGTTTTAAGTGTCCGGATACTGGTACCGTCCGGATACTGGGCAACATACTGTACACTTGGCAGGAATGTGAAAATCTCGTTTCAAGCAAGCAGCATATAGGTATAGATATACACGTACCCAACTGCGGGGTTTTAACACTCCTAACACTTTTTTTTTTCGAAATACGTTAGTCTGATAATTTCCATCGTGTTTTAACTTAGAAGAGGAAGTTACCCAGATCAGAAGACTTTGGTAATATCCGAAAGGAAATGGATGGATTGTCCAAAATCATTAACGATCACCACAGAAAGCTCGGGGAACTGAGAAGAATTCTCTTCCTTGAGGATGAGTTGAAAGGGCATGCCAGTAGCATGACGCCAAAGCAGTACGACTCGCTGGTTAGAATGTCTTCCTCTTCCATCGCACAATTGCAAAGGGAACAGTCAGTGATTCCATTTTGGCTTGGTCTGCCTGTTCTGCCACCAGACCCTTATCAAGAAGGTAAGCTTGAAATTAAACACTTCAGCATATATTGAGAATTTCTTTGATCGACTGAATGTGGAGATGTAAATTTGCCACGCAGAATAGACTTTGACTTTGCAGGCCATCATCTTTTTGTTTGCGGTCAGAATAACGATGTCCTCTCCGGAGTGACGTCTTTTCTTAATTACTTGTTTAAAATTAAAGTGAAATAATAATGACTTACTACTTGAAACCACTCTATTATTCTCAATAATCGTGAATTTCAATCTGATACTGATTTTTCTTCGGACTGTTGGTGATGTGAACAGAACCCTAAGTAACCCTGGTATCTGCAGTCGTGTTTCTTCTTCGGCATGACACTTTGCTCCAGATGTTCTCTCACCAACGTACACCTTAGTTTCTACTGAAATGGGGTTAGGGGCAGGCACGTTATTCCTATTGACACCAAAGAAAGGAACCCAAGTAAAAGATCAAGGCAGTTTTAGATGGGGAGAGTGTGACTAGGGTGTGTTCATGCACAGCAGCCAGGCCAGTGTGCGGTGTATTTTTTTTTACAGTTACTGAGTAGAAATTATACCTCCCCTGTTATTTGTTTTAGGATATTGCAAACCTCGTGCAATGTTTCCTTTCAACGACGAGTGCCGGGATTTAGAGTATTTTTCGCAAGATCGCTTGGCCTCTATATCGCAAAATATCCAGTCCGCACAAGGTCCCGATGGAAGCAAAGGAGGATCATTACAATTAACTGGGGAGGTGGATTCATTCATTGAGATACCAAACGATGGTCTACTAGATGCCACGAGATCACTCACAGTGCTTGCATTTGTTTATCCAATTGGAAAAGGAGGACCAATTATTTGCTATGACAAAAGTGGCCTGGGTGTTCAGCTTTGTTATAATGGCGTAACTTCTGAAGAGGGGGTCCTGAGAGCTTCCTTCATCCGGAGGGATCTTCTAGAAATAAGTTACCCACTTGAGGCACAAGTGTTGAGATTGAATGAATGGAACTTCGTGGGGACCTCGTACGATTACAATTCTGGAATGGCCCGCCTGTGGCACAATGGAGATGAAGTGAAAACCGTTTACATCGGGGAAAATCTTGAGCTGGCCACGCAGTTCCCGATCAGAATAGGGGCTGTAAATAACCCTTTCAAGGGTAATTATTTCAAAGGAAGAATTTCCCTCTTGCATATATATGCAGATGCACTAACTGCTGAAAACATTCGAGCAGTTGGAGGAATTAGAAATGGTTAGTACCTCAAGGACGTAACCGTTTACTTCGGCTTAATTGCCTGATTGGATTTTGACCTTACATTTTGACCATAGGTTTTCTTTATTCCTTGATTGCAAGAGGATTCTCAGTATTTTGTTAACATGATTAAATGCCACTCTCGGGGGCAATTTTTGCCAAATTCAGCTTTACTAAAATATGACCCTCTAAAAGCTTGTTTTTTTACATCAGTTATTGAGAAAAATGAATATAGACCATAAAAGTAAGCAATTAAAACCAGTCCATGGATTATTCATGTGTACACTCCTTCTAGAAACGCTTCATAAACGGTAGCAGTATAACCGATATTGCAATTTTGAATCCCTTTGGGGAGGTAATTTTAAGCTGTTCTGTTCTCTGTACTCTTTAACAGCGAATGCTGAAGGAAAAAATGCAGACGCACAATTACAGGAAGGGATATATGAAGGTGAGGCAGTCCCTCAAGAAGAAGCACGAACAGAGAGTGGAGAAGAAAGGAAGCAGATAGCATGCGATAAAGCCGCACAGAGAGAAGACGACAAAAATCAAGAAGAGGTAGAGGAGGATGAAGAAACAAATGAAGATGGGAGGGGAATTGAAAAGTTTAAAGCAAAAGAAAAGGCCCGTGAAACAAAGAAAGAAGGTTTAGATCAGGGAAATAAGAAACGACAGGGTGACGATGGCGATGGCGATGAAATGGAGAACGAAAACGAAAATTCAGTAAAAGATGACGTTAACTCAAAACTGCCAACAGGAGTACAATTAAAAGAAAAGGCAAATGCGATAGAGACAGAAGGATCCGAATGTGGAAAAGACGAAAGGAAAGAAGGGGATGACCAACCTTGGAAATCCCTTGGTTTTCAATTTGATGCTAGTATCATGGAAGACAACAGGATTCTTGACACTGACGAAATCATTAGGTTTGATACCAGTTCCCCTTTGGGTGAAGCGACAGCGCACGATCTCTGTTTCAATGTGGAGAGAAATGAAGGTGTCAGTAAAAGTGGAGGCTGGCAGTTTCAAAATGTAAGAGAGATTAGAAAAAAGATCAAAAACTTAACCGAAAGAAAGCTAAGACAAGAAGACATGATGAATGAGAAAGAAGCTGCCGAGGTAACTTGTGAATGAAGTTTTTAGTATTATCTGCTGGAATCATTACTTTCTGCATGTAATTACTTCTATCTACAATTGTAGGTATATGTTATCCTTTTGGCATGTTAAGGTTAGCTGATTGTCATACCATACCACACTTGCTCCATAAATTAGGTTTGTGATGTCTGGATTTTGCCAGAAGAAGACCGCTGGCGTCTGTATCGTAGATGGGCATACGATGCTCGTGAGAACTGTTACGAGGTTATTTCGGATTTTGAAGAAATATTTGATGGCAAAGCAAATGAACTCCAAGATCTTAGAAATGAAGAGGATCTCCAAATTCTTCGCAAAAAAGATGTCATTGGAATGACCACCACAGGTAACTGTAGTACAGAATTACTCACAGTCTAAGACAATTTAAAACATTACAAAAGTTAACAACACGCTCTGATTGGCGTCAATGTGTCCAAGGCCAGTTCCCGCTCATCGCACGTCAAATCAAAGCACACGTTAATTTAGGGACCGTGCATTATTTATGGCCTGGAGTTGGTCGACGGGGTATAATAGCACCCTCTCATCCTTTTTCCATTTGCAATCAAATTAATGTGGCTTACAACGGTTTGCCCTATTTTTTAGTACGTTTCCTTTGATAGCTTACTGAAAGATAAAATATTTTTTCACTTTACAATTAGTCATCAATTTAATGTCATTATTATAGAATCCTCTTAAAAAGCTCTAAGTAGAGTATTGATCCATTAAGTAAATTGCACAATAATATTTCCACGAGCACATTAACATTGTCGAAGGAATTAGTTTTTTTTAACAAATTATTAATAGGTGACAGGTCAATGAAATTGCTTAGCATTTTGTTTTCACTGAGGCTAAACTAACTTTTGTTTTCATGTAAGCGAAGTAACATTGTATCCTCCAACTTATTTTTGGGTTTAAATTTTTTTTTAATATACTCCAATTTGCCTTTTTATACTACCAGTTAGTAACTTTTACACTGATAGTCTTGGTAGTAATGAAATTATATTATTTAGGCTCATATTGTGTTCGTCATTTATAATGTTGTAGAAGAAACATTTGGTGGTTTTCACTCATTTAAGGTTAATTCAAGTCAACGCTTTGTCTTAAACGTGAGCTCCGTTTTTATGCTTGTCTAAATTTACAGTCATTTTTGAAATTTAAACAAAAAGACAGAACGTGTAAAGCGCATCGCACTTCTCGGTTAAAAAATAAACTAGAATTCTGTTTCGTAACTTTGAATTTAGCCTTGAAGGGTTTACTTTTTTATTAAGGTGCTGCAAGATATCACAGCTTGTTACAAAAGCTGCAGCCAGCGGTTACCATCGTCGAGGAAGCCGCTGAGGTATTTGAAGCGCATACTGTCACCGCCTTAACACCTGGATGCCAGCAACTAATTCTAATTGGTGATCATCAACAACTTCGTCCCAGTCCCACAGTCTATAAACTCGCCAAAGATTACAACTTGGATGTGTCACTGTTTGAAAGAATGATAGAGAACAATCTGGAGTATAAACGACTGTGTCTACAGCACCGTATGCGCCCGGAAATTGCCAAGATGCTAGACCACATATACGTCAACCCCAGACTGCAAAATGATAAATCTGTATTGGCTTTTGAAGACATTAAGGGAGTGGAGCGAAATTTATTTTTTGTAGATCATAACGAGGAAGAGGTACAATGAAATAATGTAGTTACGGTCCCCTACATTTTCATAAGGTGGAATAAAGGTAACAATGTATCCGTCTTACGCAAGTGAAATAATTTCTCAAAAGTAGAATTCAGGTAGAATTTTTTTGCGCACTTTATTAATTTGTAGTAAAGCCGACTTCCGTCCACCAAATTTAACCTCCCAGGGAATTTTTTTGGTCAATGAGATTGTGAGAGTACCCTCTTTACGAAGGCGTGTAAGTTAACTGAGTAGTTTGTTCTAAAAGTGTAAGGTCTTACCTTCAGCTAACCTGTGATCGGCCTTATTTTTTTTGGGGGGGGGGGGGGGGGGGGGGGGGGGGGGGGGGATGGTTGGGCGCTCAGGATGGGGGGGTTCTGGTTTGACGTTGTTGTTTTTTGTTAAGATATTGTGCAGATCAATTTGTTGGTAGTTGTTATGTGGTGGCTCTGGTGGTGGGATTATGTTGTTTTTGGTGGTGGGGGGGGGGGGGTGGAGGGGGCGGGGGGGAGGAGAGTGGAAAAAGAGAACGCCTGATTCATTTACTTCACAAGTAGTCTGCCGCCCCCTAAAATTAAAGAATCTGTCAGCATTTGTGTTATCGTGTCATATTTTACCCGAAATTCAAGCGGTCTACTCTCCAGATTTCCAGGCAAGCGGTGAATGTTAAGTTGATACAGTAGTCGTTAGCGGACACGTCGAATATTTTAAGGACCAAGTTAACACTGCTGTTATTGCGAATCTTCCCTAATCGTTGCCGTGAGGTACGATAAACCGTCAAGTTAACTAAATTAATAATTCATTGAAAACAATAGTGGAGTACCGGAATTCTGTATTTTACTGGAAGTGGTCAAAAGTATAGCAATTCATTCTGTGGAAACAAATCTTTCATGACTTTTCATCAGTTCGCAAAACTGCGGGTTTAAAATCGTCAATAATTATTTTTTACACACTTTCACGCAGTTGAACTCGATCGGAAATCAAAGACAACAATTCTGCCTAGTACGAGCAAGAAAGCGTTGAAGAAGAAATAGTGGATATCCTTACAAGTGACAAATCATATCTCGTCCTCATCTCAGCTGTCAAGGTTTTTCTCTGTTCAATGTTGACTTGATTCACTAAAAAAATTGATATTTTTTCTTAAAACCTGAGCTTACTGTTAATAGAATTGCTCGATCATCTTGTGATTTCTGTCATGAAGAGATGAAGGTGACATAACCTTTCTAATAGCTCCAAACGTCAGATATGTTGCTTGACCAATCGGTGCAGGGTTCCGAAGAATCTTTTGTTTTTCGACCAATCAGACAAAAGTCTAGATTCTGTACTATGGGCAGACGACGCGTAGCTATGGGCAGACCCTCGTCTTCCAAACAAAAAGGGAAGAAAGACACCTGATTTTTTTCGTGCATGTTTTAAAGTGCAAATTGCAAATAGTTCTTTTCAACCATATGAAAGCAGTTACATGAACTGCCTTGCAAGAAAGAAATAACAAAAGCACGTAGAGAATACCTTGATATATCGGTTAATTTACTTTGCTTTTTAAAAGCACGAAAGAGCCTTATCATGCCAACACTTGACTCTGACCTACGCTTGCCCTTTGCAGGAGCTAGTACGTGAAGGGAGAAGCAAGTCCAATGATCACGAAGCCAAATTCCTAGCAGCTCTGTGCCGTTACCTCATTCAGCAAGGTTATAAGAGAGAGCAGATCACGATTCTGACAGCCTACAGTGGTCAGCTTCTCACACTTAAAAACGAAATGTCAAACGACGAAGCATGTTTTGGGGGAGTGCACGCGACAGTAGTTGATAACTTTCAAGGGGAAGAAAACGACATAATTCTTCTATCACTTGTTCGGAGTAACAAGATTGGGTTTCTCAAGATAGCAAACAGGGTGTGCGTTGCTTTGTCTCGAGCTCGAAAGGGTTTCTACATCATTGGAAATGCATCGCTTTTGGATGAAAATGACCCCGACCTCTGGAGAAAAATCTTAACAGATATGCAGGAACAAGGAAATCTTGGGAGAGAATTGAAACTTGTGTGTCAGAATCACCCTCAAAATGTACTTTTTGCTTCAAGTGCCACACATTTCAATGGTGCGCCACTTGGGGGCTGCATGGAACCATGCCAGAAGCGCATGCCCGACTGTGAACACACCTGTCCATTTCTGTGTCATCCAATAGATGTGGATCACAAGGAGGAATTCGCGTGCCGCCAGCCATGTACCAAGATTATCTGCGAACGTGGGCATAGATGTCCAAAGACCTGCAGTGAAGAGTGTGGCCCATGTATGGTCTATGTGCCAAAACGTATTCCAAGCTGTGGACATGAACAGAATGTTCCATGTTCTTTGGATCCTTCCAAATTCAAGTGCACACAGGTGGTATCAAAGCAGGCCTATCCCTGTGGTCATTTTCAAGATCAAGTGCTGTGTTCAGTGTCTCCTAGCGACATTTCATGCAAGAAACCATGTGGTCTGCTCGAGTGTGGTCATCCTTGCCAAGGTATATTAATTAAAAAATTACTTAAAGAAATTTAATGAGGGTCACAATTATCCCTGGCTAAAGGAGGAGGAAGGTTTGATGTGATACATAACTACGCGATGGTCACATATGGTGATAATGGCAGATTGGTAATATTCTGTATCAAAATGTATCTATTACTTTTTAACTTTAACTAATTCTTCATATTCGCAATTCAACTTTATGAAAGCAAACAAATAATTGGGTTTAATTTGATTTTAACATAAGAGGGAAACTAGAAACTAGCGCCTTAAGTTTCCAAGATAAGTGGACGTAAACACAACAGCATCGGAGCTTATTTTTTAAAAGTAATTCTTTGTCTTGCTTTCAATGATCTTATCAGGTACTTTAGCTCAAAGGTAACTTTAAGGCTGGGCCTTTTGGAGCGATTACACAATAGCCTAACTACGGAATTAGCAAACAAAATCTGTCTATATGGTACAACCGATCATAAGTGACTGTGACACTAGTTTCTCCTTATTGGGAATTGAAAACAGAGAGCCTCTAGAACGGCTTCAGCGACGAGTTGCGAGGAGCATATACGGTTTTTAGCCGCACAAACTGGTTCAAACCTTACGAAATTGGGTTGCAATTTTTCAAGAATGTTTAAAAGGATATTTTACGGTAGGCTACCACCCAGGTTGCGGACCCATACGCCACATGCACACGGTCTTGAAATACTGAGATTATGCAACGTAATTGTAATCTTGGAGTAGCAAAGATTTGTTTTTTGGTTTCATGGTGCACTCTTGACATTGCACTACCTGGAATTTTTCAGGCTCTGGCTCCTTAAGATCGTGTGAACGCAATTACTGCTTTTTATCTTTTTTTTTCTTCTGTTATGGACATTTTGATGTATAGAGGATAATTTTTTTCTTTATGAGGATCTTTTCTTTTTTTATCATTTCAATTAGGATCCTTTTTCTGTAAATTTTGGAATACACGTATTCCTTTAAATGTACTTTTCAGGGCCGCCTTTGATAGCGGTCTAATGACTGAAGAGGTTACCCTTTCAAAATATCGGTCTTAATTATAATATTACTACTTGAAGACAGTGCTTTCTTGATGTCTTTAATTTAGAGGTCCTGTCAAAGGCTTTAGCTTAAGAATTGTGCTCGAACTTGTCCACAAATCACTGGAACACTAAGTGTTCTTTATTCCAATTACATGTGTCATAGTCTTTGCAGTCTCTTAGTGCTTGTTATATCTAAGTTCTATTCAAGTCCTCTTCTCGTGAGCTTGTCTTCGTTTATACGATGCGACAGTTTAACCGTTTGCCGAAATAAAAATACTCAGAAGAAACAGTTACAATCTCTTCCATCGGTATTATTTAAGACAAGGAAATATATCAGAATATTATTTATAAAATAGCTAAGATAGTGCGCGCGTTCTGATTGGTTAAAACCTATGGTTTATTGTGCCGGTAAATTCATAGAAAACTTAAAGTTATATAAAAGCAATAGACCATACTTTCTATGGGTTTACCGGCGTGATAACCCACGCGGGATGTTAAGAGAACACGAGAAAAGGTTGTAAATCACTCGCCTTTGGTTCGTGATTTATAAGCTTTCCTCATGTGCTCCCAACATCCTGCGTGGGTTATCACGCCGGTAAACTCATAGAAAGTGTGGTCGGTTGCTCAAGTAACCCAGGGTATGAGACCACACAGTGTAAACTCGCCTAAGAAAGCTATCTCCGCAATGCGTACAGTTTGACGGGCCCTTCATTTTTGACCACAATTGTGAACTGAAGCACAAACTACCAACTCCGCGGTTTGGCCAGTACCTTACGCATGTGCACAGCCATATCACCCCGGCATCAAGGACGAAACAGCTGTCCATGGCTGCCACTGCCGGGGTCAGGGGCGGATCTAGGGGGAGGGTACAGGGGATGCGCCCCCCCCCCCCCCCCCCGGNAAGGAGAAACAGCCGGCCCTGGGCCCCCCCCGCGGGGGCCGGGGGGGGATTAGGGGGGGGGGACAGGGGGTGCGCCCCCCCCCCCCCCCTGAGATGACCTGCGGTTTTCTAATACAACCGGTATTCTAGGAAAAAAAAACTATGTGGTTCATTGGTGTTGAAGTAGAGCAAGAGACGAGTGCACCCCCTCCTAAAAAAAATCCTGGATCCGCCCCTGGGGTGAGATGGTAGTGTGTGCTTCAGTTCATAATTGTGGTGTTACTTCATTTTCTCCTCACTTCTATCAAGTTATAGAAGCAACAAAATTTACAAATTTCCTCGCCTTAACTTATCGCTAAGACATCAAGCACGTGATCTTTCAACCCATTTCATAAATTTCGTTTTCCAGTTCCCTACCTTTCCCATTTTTAAGAATAAGGAGGAGATAATCATGTTAATCAGTTCTGGAGAAGAGAGGCGCTTAACATTAACTGAAATTTTTCCAAAATTTTGACGGACAATTTCCTCACATCCATGATGGCAATGTCAAAATATCTAGATGATACTATTTCCACTTTTCTCCACAGGTAACTGCAGTTCTTGTGAACAAGGACGACTACATTTGTCCTGCAACTCTCTATGCAGCCGCACCTTGTTTTGCGGCCATAGCTGTAAGGATCTTTGCATTAAGGAATGTCCGCCATGTTACGAGCCTTGTAAGCTTTGTGGTCATCCTTGTCAGCATCCCACAAACGAACACGAACGCCAGTTGTATTGCACACGTCTTAAATGTACGGAACTTTGTGAAAATCCTTGCAAGAAGCAAAAAAGCGATCAGCCATGTCAAAAACAACTATCCTGTGGACAAATTGGTACTGAAAATTTTACTGAGCCTTCCACTAAGTTGTGCCAAGTCTGCAACAAAAATGCTGACGTGGTAAGGGAGGATGAAGCTGGGGCTATGTTTGTAGAACTGATAGACTGTGGCCATGTTATTGAGAGAAAGGAACTGAATCTATGGATGACCAAATATGAAGGTAGCCAGGATGAGAATAAGGATATTGAAATCAAGCAACGGCGGTGTCCGAAGTGTAGTACGCCTATTTTCTGCAACCTATGTAATGCAAACATCGTAAGCAACGCTATCGCTGATTTTGAAGCTGTAAAGCGTCGGATTTTTCTCTCGAACGTAGTAAGCAAGCAACAGTTAGAGAAACTTCAAAAGCTCAAAGACTCAGAGCTTCAAAAACTCAAAGACTTTGGAATAAACATCGGGGAAGGATTAAGAGAAACTATTGGCAGCAGGCCTGTCACGACTGAGCAGCTAACCACGTACCAAAATCAAGTCACCTTCCTCTCGTTTCTTGGCAAGGTTTGGAAAAAATATGGTGATGCAATTGAGGAAAAAGAGCAACTACACTTGCGCATATATCTTCTTGCTTCGCGAGTTGTGGGAGAAAGAGTTTGCTTTAGTGAACAGGAAATCAAGGAATTTACTGAGGAACTTTTAAGAACGGAGCTGCTCGCCCATTTGAAATGGTTGACGACTGCACTAGGAGGCGGAGCTATCACCCTCATCCCTGAGGACAGTGAGAGGATTGAAGCTATAAAGAATGCATTGGAGTCAGGAAAAACAATTGGTAACTGCAACGTTTTCCTATCTTTTCTTGGCAGCAGTATATAGTGGTACTGGTACTGGTGGTGGTGATAAAAGAGAAAAACAATAGAAATGTAGAGAAGCAAAAAAGGGAGGAATGAAAATGAAAAAATATTTTTGGTGAAAGAAAGAGCTAGTTTGCCTTCATCCTCATTAAATATGCCCGATTTTCTAGCCAAGAATCCGTGAGTAAACCGGACCTTTAACAGGACAATGAAAGCGGCAGGAGATAGAACGTGCATAATAACGTGAAGACTAAGTGATTTTAAGTCACAGGCGACTATTCCTTCTGTAAAATCATTCATATTCTTACTTCCCGTTCGGGCAAACCCAAGCAGGTCGTTTATTCCTATTGTATTAGAAATACACAAAAGGGAAGATAATGAAACTCCAACACATTTTATTTTTGAGTTTAAGACAAAAGGCTTTGACATCATTGGCACCGATGTATTTTTTCAGCAACATAATGAGATTCCCCCGCCCAAAAAGGTTAATTCAGTTCCTAATATACTACTCAAGGCACTGACCAATACCGGCACGTATTCTGATAAGAGCTAACGCAATATTTCTTTCACCGAAACTACCAAAGGGACCTAAATTTTCAGAAACTGCATTTTTTGTCATTGTTAGATCGCCAAAGAAGGAAACAGTTTATCGATGATGTCAACAAAATACATGCACAGCTGTTGAGTGGGTTTAACAGCAAAGGAAAGATGGTTGACTCCGAGTCGAGCTTGAAAGAAAAGATTGTTAGGAGAAAAAATCTCACTGAAGGACCATGGTTCAAATGCGTTAAAGGTAGAACTGCATGTATACTTTGGAAAGCCTCAAATGAAATAGCGACATACTATGTAAAATATACGGTTAACTTGTTCAAGATTCGAACAGTTGGTAACCGATGAACGTTTAACTTAGTGTGATGTAGCCGTAGTTGTAGTTATCAAAGCTCTTCAGTGTTTCCCCTATTTTCATTTTAAACTGTGAGGAATTATGACTGCACGGAAAAACCAAAATTCCTTCCCATGTATGAAGTTTAAAACTAGATTCTTTTGAGAGTAAAGGGTTTCCTTCCATAAACTTCACTTAACTCTGGTTGTCCTCGTTTTGGTGGAAAATGTTTTTTTCCCTCCTTTTTCAGTTTATTCTCTCAGCAGAACTCTCTTTTGTTCGCATTTCATTGTAATTGTTGAAGCAGCAGACTTAAAATAAATCTACATGAATTCATGAGTTATCCCCTTTTAATAAATGTATTTATCATGGGTTATGTAACCTTTTCTTTGGGGTGTTACATGGTATGCTGTTCTGTTGCTTCATTAGCGGTAGGCTATATATTTGAGTTGTTCTCATTTATATTCATTCGCGTCTTACGACCGTCCCTACGCCCTCAAAATTAAATACCCAGTGACCAGGGGTTTCTCTTAGACGTAGTTTTTTGCATGCTGCTATATGAAAAGTTTAGCACGTTTTGTATGAATCATTGTTATACGAGCATAGTTTAGATCATTTTGTTGGCTTGTTTTTCTTGCTGTAATTTTTTACATTTCCGAGTTTTCATTCTGTTTGTTGTATTATTTCCATCCATTCTGTTGATGAAGGCATAATAAAGAGGGTCGCACACGGCTCGTGTTGACACACCCCAATTAAGGTTGCTTGTTACATGATAAATGTTTTATATTCGTTTGAGCGGGGTAGCGAATTAGAATATAATATATTAAATGATCCTCCTGTCTTTTTTTCCCTCTCGCACAGCTCACAGATATTCTGCCGCTGAGCGCATTGATGGAGAAGGCAATATTAAGTGCCCAGAATGTCATGCAGAAGCTAAAGGGACTGCTGCCAAGTCACAGGTAGCGGTATAAAACGCATTATACGTAAAATGCTTGACTTAATGTGCCTAACAACAGCTGAAACAGCTAAAAATGTTAAGAAGTTCCTCGTTCTCCTAATAAGACTCGGGTTTACCAATTCCTGTAGAGAGCTTAAGCAGCAACGACGGCGACGGCTACGAAAACCTCACTTAAAAAGTGAATTCGCACTACTTCAAAATTTATCGCACATATTCCACCTCGTTTAATTCGTCAAATGTTGGTGGCGGATTTTTCTGGAGTTAAATTCTAAAGGACAGTATCGAAGTTTAGGAAAAGAAAAACAAAGTCGTTGCCTTGTGTTCCTGTCCTCGACAAAAAGTGAAATAAAGCACTTTCACGTTGTAGTCGTGCGACGACGACAAAAAAAAAAAGTACAAAAAACGTGATTCACATGCAAAGTTGTTGTTTTTGCCAATCTAAGGGCCTGTTTAGGAGGAGGTGGGGGAACCCACTTAGGTGAGGTAACCTGCTTAGTTGAGGTAACCCGCCTGTCCATATAATCTCTCATTTTGATTTGATCACTTTTACCTGATAGATGGGGTAACCTGCCGCATGTTACCTCACCTATCTGGGATTCCCCACCTCTTTGTCAACAGGCCCTTAACCTATTGCTTTTTTGCCGTTCTTGTTGCCGTTGCCGCCGTCGTTACTTAAGCTCCCTAATGATATTACGGAGCCAAAACGTCCCTTATTTTTCATTATTTATGGGAACTCTCCTGGAGGAGTAGAATTGGTAAGAAAACATAAATGAGTCTTTCAGATCTGAGAAGCAGTTGCTAAAGGGTTCAAAATTAAACCACGTGTAGTAAATAGAAAAAAGATGCTAGTAAAATGATGTTACTGATAGATGGGGTAACCTGCCGCATGTTACCTCACCTATCTGGGATTCCCCACCTCTTTGTCAACAGGCCCTTAACCTATTGCTTTTTTGCCGTTCTTGTTGCCGTTGCCGCCGTCGTTACTTAAGCTCCCTAATGATATTACGGAGCCAAAACGTCCCTTATTTTTCATTATTTATGGGAACTCTCCTGGAGGAGTAGAATTGGTAAGAAAACATAAATGAGTCTTTCAGATCTGAGAAGCAGTTGCTAAAGGGTTCAAAATTAAACCACGTGTAGTAAATAGAAAAAAGATGCTAGTAAAATGATGTTACTTAGTAGAAACTTCCAAAAAATTACGTAGATTTCAGTTTCAACAATTCCATTGGAATTTTGTCAAGTCCAAATCTGGTTAACTTGGTAGACACCCCTATGAAATGAGGGGGGTTATTTATTGTGTGATTTAAGTGGAAATTCGTGGTTTGGAATCGCTTGAGATGCCAAATGAAAGAGAAATTAAGCACAATTGAAAGAAATCAACTGGTCCTACGTTGCCTCTGACTGACTGTCGTTTACTATTCCTTTTAGACTGTTGCCACTCGAGGGCTTATGCGGTCACATAAAAAGGAAACAAGAAAAGAAGGAAGAAAACCACGCTATAGTAACACGTGGCGACGACGTCCCGGCAAGAATGCAAAGTTCAGTACATAGTGTAGACACTATTATTACAAAAAGCCTCTTTTATCCAGGAATTAGAAAAATCTGTTCAAATCTAGAATGGCTATTTCGCGCTGTATATTTTACAAGGGAGTATCTCTTCACCAAGATTTCTTCTTTTATATCCTAATCGAATAGCTCCATGTACAAAAAAGGTAAATTTATGTGTAATACAGTTGCCACTCAACTGCCCTTTGGTGAAACCATATCATGAAACAAAGTAAAGAAAATCGGTTTCGTTTCTATTTACTGCAATAGCTAGATGGCTGACGGTTAGCCTGGTAAGAGAAAAAAAAAAAGAAAGCTTAAAAACAAAAGTGCGCCGCCCTTAACTTTCTTGTGTGTTTGCCTTAAGTGGATTTAGGACAACCTTCACTCAGTATTCTCTTTAAAAAAATCAACAAATCAATCAACAATCAATCAATGTGAAATTATTGCCAGGTTAGCTTAGTATTAATTTTTAAACAAAAGCACGTTGTAAATTACCTCTTGTAAACGACGTGATGATTTAAGCTAGGTTTACACCAATTTTCGACCACCTACTAAGAATCATTGCGTAGATGGAGAACAAGTATTTAGACGATAAATTTGGAAAACAAATAGACTGGAGAAGATTTTTTCCGGATTTATAAATGTTTTGGGATTTGCTACATTAAGGGTATTCGAATTCTTAGGCGTTCATACTGAAAACGTATTCGGATTCCAATCCGTTAAATCCGGTGAAATTCATCCGGGATCTGTTATCAAGCAGCATGCCATCAACGTGACAATTTAAAAGCGGTCCTCTGTTACAGGAAACTCGTCTGATAGGGGGTGAAAAATTACCTGGATTCGTTGGAAGAATATTTGACACAACAAAACATTTCGGATTGAACTATAAATTTCAGATATAAATCGTCGAAGACGCCACCAAAGATCAAGCAGTTGCAGGTATAGAGCGTATTCACTCAGGTGGCCAGCCTCTATGCAAATTTATTGGAAAAAAAGAAAGCATTTACATTAGAAAAGAGTTCAACTCCCACAGGATTTTCTTGGTACACCAATATGGCCGCCATGACGCCATGTGAATACGCTCTTTACGACAAAACGAGTCCAGTGCCAAAATGGCCTGGATTCGTCATGAATCCGGAAAAACTTCTCTACTGTAAACCCAAGCATAGAACCAAAAGTCTCGTTTTGTAATTACCTAAGAATGTGATTTTTCATGAACGAAGTTCTGCAGTTTTCGTCCATTGAGTAAAGAATATGCAACACAATATTTTAAAAAGAAAGAAGAAGAAGAAAGAATAGAAATATCAAATAAAATGTTGTGGCATCCAAAACTAACGGTAAAAAATATAGGCAGATATCACGGTGAAAAACGAAATCAATAACTACTACAATTCTCAAAGTTCTTTAGCGCTAGTGTACATTACGTAACAGAACAATTTGTCACGCAACAAAAAAATAAATTTGAAACCGTCCAGTGGAAGAAGCCAAGAAAATGAAATGTTATAAAAGGTCTTTGTTGCCCACAGTTTCTGAGTTATTTGTCGAAACACTTCACGCACCTTTGTAGAACTTTGTATGGAGACGCCATATTGGTGTACCGTTTTGGTGCACCAATATGGCCACCGGAAATCATTAAAAACATCTGGAGTTCACTTTTTCTCTAAAAGCTCTTTCTTTTCACTCGAAAACTACAATCAGGGACAAAAGTAGTTGACACACTTGTTTAGAACGGGTACTTTTATCAAACATTTACTTCATTTATTATTTCATTCCTTTTAAACGCCATAAATCCCCTCACCCCCTGAATCAATGTTGTCTGAAGTAAAAGAAAGAGTTGAGGGTCCAAAATACAATGTTGTCTGAAGTAAAAGAAAGAGTTAAGGGTCCAAAATACAACATTGATTTTGGGGGCGAGGGGTGGAGGTAGACAGGGGAAGGGGATAGGTAAGTCCAGTATTCAAAAAGGGGCCATTTTACGGAAGTGTCTCAACACTTTTGTCCCTCATTGTCTGAATGCAAAATTGTACTACTGCACACAAGTTGAGCTCTGTATGACAATGATTTTAACTGAAATTAAAGCAATCAATGACATAATTATGTTATTGGTGGTGGGGTTGACATTGACTTCTTCACGACCGAAATATAGGGCCAATTCGAATTACGTGATGACGTAATAAAAGGGCTGCGGTATCCAGAATTAACGGCGATATAGTTTACAAGCTAAAAACTGAGGCTGAAACTCGCGCACATGTACAACTTTTGGTGAATTTCAAGAGTATGCGTACTGAAAATATTTTTAATAAAGTGAATATTCCTCTTTCTTTACTTTATCCGATTGATAAGACGCAAACAATCAGGGGTAGCGTAAGGCTTGACACGTGTTGGGGATAGTCACTGGCCGGCCACGGAAATATGGAGCGTTAGTGAGGATCGGCCATCACTGCGTTCAATATCGGAACTACGGAAAAGTGAAGGTAAATTCATGGTCAATTTAATAAAAAACTAAGGACAGCGTAACAAATATTACAAGTGTACGCGAAAACAATTACTTTCAATCCCACCTGGTGACACCCTCTGTGACATGATAACGCAACGCAAATAGCGTGACATGAGCGCATATGTCTGAGTATTTGGACTGCATTTCTCAAGCGAAACCCTCTGTTTTTCTCTATTGTCGGCAGGAAAAATGAAAACAGAGCTTTAAAACGTGAACTGGTATCTGACTCTCAAAGAAAACGACAGCTCAAACTGAGGAAAACACTGCTTCCTTCGTGATACAACGGTTAACCACGTTTCGGCAAACGGAAAGTAATATTAGTCTGTTATGACCTCTTAATGTCGATATGTTTTCCCGTGGTTAACCGTTAAAACTCCTTATTTGCACCACATCGCTGCAATGTTGCTCGCCAAGAATAAGTATTGCAAAGCACTTTCTACATAGCGAGATCTTCTTTTGCCTTTTGTGAGGAATTAGGGCATGAAAACGGAAAATTTTCCAGCTCACGGCCGTCATCGATCACGTGCCAATCCCGCTCTCCTTGTCATCAAGTGAACTTCTGGGCCACAGTAATTGTTTTTTTGGTGAGATACAGACTGGTCTGTCTATCTTGAAAACAATTTCTTTAGCATTATGTGATTTAGGAGCTGGGAAATGAACTAGAATAAATGAATAAATGGCAGGCGGTCATCTAAAATCATTACAAAAGTACATTCCTAACCTGTTCTACGCCTACCTACGCTTAAGGTTTGGATCTGTTAGGTTTGAAAAGGTCTCAAAAAAAAGAAAAACACTTATAGGGCATAGCAGAAACGGCTGGCCCATAATTTATGAGGTTCATATCCTGTATATTGCTCACGTCCTTTCACCAATGGCACAAGTCAGTGTCGAAAATAATGCATGTCCGCTCCGTTACTCTCAGTATTTCATTATCTTAAGTTGACTATTCATGCACACAAGAACAATTT